CGCAAAAAATTGAGCTTCGATACTCTTAGTGAGCACAGTACAGATAACCCATTATGTAGCTTTGTGTTTATTAAAGCAAACAAACAAACCTAAATAAAAATCACTTGAAAATATTAAGTATTATTTTTACATTTTTTTTCATTTTTAATGGACAAGTCATTTTAATTTCACTCTCAAAGACTAAGTCACACAATCTATGAATATTCCATTTGCTTCAACTGTAAGATATTAATTCACTAAAACCATTGAAAACAACGGATACATCATGTTCCTCACCTGTTGTGGTGTTGGTTATCTAACAATTCTGTCTCTTTCTCTCAATAAAAAATCACATGACTGGGATCAAAACCACACGTGTTTTTCAACAATATTAAAAATACACAGAACACACAATGTTCCTCAGTGTAGTACAAGCTAATAAACCTTACCAATCATACACGCCTCAATTTTCCAACCTAAATTCTTTATTTGCCAACCGGCTCATATATAACTTACGCATAGCGTTTCTCAACATTTTCGAAACCAAGAACCAGCTGGCTGCTTCCCTGAACTGTCGCGGACCTCTAGAATATAAGTACAACGAAAAACCATAACGACTTATATATATGAATATTCTATAAGATTCTCCTTGCTTGTTTGTTTGTTATCGTGAAATCCCACGGACTGACAAGATGGTTGTGACAGACCAGTGGTTTAGAAACATCATTCTAACATACATATCTGTCTTAACACCACACATTAACCAATAAGTACTTGTAGTATAAGATGTTACCATTCAGTGGCTAACATGATAACCATAGGAAGCTATGCCATCATCAGTCGTGTTTTACGTGTACAATAAAGCATGTGTACAACCTTGAGGCGCCATCTAAGAAGTTGAGACTACTCAAACCACACAGTACAGCGTGGTAGGTGCTCAAGGGATAACAGCAAAAATATCTTCTTATTCACAATACAGCAGGCCCGGCATGGCCAGGTGGTTAGGGCGCTCGACTCGCAATCTGCGGGTCGCGGGTTTGAATCCCCGTCACACCAAACATGCTCGCCCTTTCAGCCGTGGGGGCGTTATAATGTGACAGTCAATCCCACTATTCGTTGGTAAAAGAGTAGCCCAAGAGTTGGCGGTGAGTGGTGATGACTAGCTGCCTTCCCTCTAGTCTTACACTGCTAAATTAGGGACGGCTAGCGCAGATAGCCCTCGTGTAGCTTTGCGTGAAATCCATAACAAACAAACAAACACAATACAAAAGTCAGCCCAAACTATCATTTATTCGTACTAGAACTACAATATAGGGGTTGCGAAAAACCCACTTCATAAGATTAACACGCAAAATAATTCGGTGAAAAATGTAGCAAAATGATACAACTTGTGTAGTGTTAAGACACAACTATGTTACTGCACTTCAAGAAATAAACTCTGCATTAAAAAATTCTTGGATCAGAGCACCAAATGAAGCTGATTTGTGGCATTCAATTACACAGATGTCCCTAGAAAAGTACAAAATATCCCAATGCAGCAGGTCACGAAAATATTATACAGAGAATAATATGAACACTAAATCCAAAGAAAAACAAGCAAACACATGTGTACAAATTCTTTATTCTTTCGAGTAAAGAAAGTTTGAGGTATTTACCTATACTATCTTACTTTTATATTCGATATTGAATACTCTGGATGCTGGAGCTGAAGAAACACATTTGCATGAGATAGGAACATAAATACTGATGATACCATAGTGTTAAGTCAGACCAAGGATCTTGTGCTGTATCTCACGATCTTTAGATTACTTACGTCAATGATAAAGGGAGTTTTCAACTGTCTCACTCCTTGAAAAGAGTATGACCTCACTGCAGAAGGGCATAACACAGGAACAGGACAAAGCAAGTATAAGCCTTATTGAAGAATTGTTGTGGCAAGTAACCTCTGTCTAATCTAAAAGATTAGCGCAAACCGATTTCTTCTCTACATCCAGTTTATAAGGATGTTTCTAACTGCACGCAGAACACTCACAGAAACATTTATAAAATTGTAATCGAATATTACTAAATACATATGCGTTATTTACTTGTTATAGAATGGTAGAATTTGACGATCTATCCAATCAGTACAACTGATTATGTTGTAAGTGCAATTTTTGACTGACTCAGAGTTCCAAGAAATGATGACAGTCTACAATACATTGAATATAAAGTCGCCGTTGATTATTTTGAGAGTTAAAATTACGAATTATTCTATGATACAAGTTATGCCTGACTGTATTAGATATGTGCTTATAGCTAACTGAGGCGTTAGGTACAACCCATGATTGGCAGTTTAGGAGAAACGAACTGAAGACTAACTATGCCAGAAACACACTTATGACCGTCTGTACTTGCATATTCGATGGAAGTTTATATCTGACTGAATTACACAATGTACACTGTGACTGTAGCAAGTATACATTGTAACATGGAGTAGTCTGATATCAAGCGTTTAAATTACGAATATTAGTATATGGGAAAATCATATCGAAATATATCATCAATATTTAAAACAAACCATTGATGTTATAGATTCGAAAAGCCCAAATGTAGAAATGTTTTAGCTCATTTAAATGTATATATATATATTTAATGTAGGTAACGTGACAGGCTGAGTCTTGGTCTCAAGGGCAGAATTATTACTGTCTCATGAAAAGATCAAGCTAGTACCAAAGGTTAGTTTCTTTTGTAACTTTACTTTGCATTGTTGGTGGTATTTTTATTCCATCGCTCCCCGTTGACAACATAGGGTTGTTAGAATTCTTGATACTTATGTCTGTCACATTTCAAACATACTTAATTATATGTTATCAAGCAAATCAGTAGGTTGGTCGTAATTTTACTAATTAGTTTACTGCAGTTGTTAGGATCAAATTTGTTAGAGACTAAGGTTGAATGATCCAAGTCACACCAAATATTGATTTATAGCTCTTCGAACAAAAAGTAATGAAGCTGGGTTAAATATGTCGAACAAGTATAATGGTAAAGAAAGAAATTAGTTGATTAAGTAATACACTAATTCACAAGGTCAGGTAAACATTTAACAACTCTACATATATTGGGTGGAATTAGAGCAGATGTTGTGGAAATAATATTTCCATTTATATACTGGCATAGTTTGATGAAGTTTTGCAATTTCCTTGCCTATGACGATAAAGCTATGTATAATCCCATAGTAAGATTTTATTAGTGATTATGCAACACCTTTAACAAGCTAGACAACATAGCTTATGTTGATAATATATTACTGTAATCACGCAGTGAAATTCAACATTTTCATCCCATACCAACTATATTGGTGAGTGTACTTCGAAAAACTGGCAACTAGCGAGAATGTTGAGGAATATTGCACTGTTGTGTTTTATCCACTAAAACGTAAAAACTTCAACAGTTTTCCTTCTGAATGATTGATATTTAGCCCCTCTCATAGACTCACATACTCGAAGGGGGAAAAAAGATGCAAGGAATTTAAAAAAACTTCAACTCTTGTGTTGTTTATGAACTGGAGAAAGGAGGCAGACAATCTGACATGGGGCGGAGCTCATCCTTATTATATATGATGTTGCCAAAAAGTGAAAACATTTTTTCTTTATTTACTCTTTAAAGTTTGGACGTTTTGCAAAATGTTAACATAGTACATTTCTTTATCTACTTTTGATTTGTTTATTTTATGTACAATAATGTTTGAAGTTCAATGGTGTAGGATGTATCAAATTATTTAACTTAATTTCTGCGCTTGAAATAAACCATTTTTTAGTTTGGAAAATATAAAGTGAAAAACCATTATGTCAGCATAGTTTGAAGAAAAAAACACGTGTTCGTGTACTCTTTTACGAACGAAAAGTAGGATTGACCGTCACATTATAACGTCCCCACGGCTGAAAGGGCTAGCATGTTTGGTAGGACGGGGATTCGAACCCGCGACCCTCAGATTGCGAGTCGAGCACTCTAATCACCAGGTCATGCCGGGCCCCACTGAAAGGTAAACTCGTACAGTTAGAGTATCATGTTTAAGTCATATGTAAACACACAGATGTAAAATGTCTATTGCTAAACATCTAGGCATATTGATCACATTATTTTTCAGCTTTTATGTATAATAAACTCGTTTTGTATCATATAATAAAAAAAATAAGACTTCTATAAACACTATTACATTTGAGTTGATTTGTTTTAATGACCATTTTATTAAAATATAGATCAATTTCAGCTTTTTAATTTATTGGCCTCCCCTTAAAATTGTTTTGCTTCCCCCCTCTAACGCCCGAGTGGAAAACCTGGCTACACACTGTAAACATCCATAACACATTTTATTTAAGAGTTTTACCAGCCACATCTTTCTCATGCTGGTGAAGCGCTGGAAATCACCTGAGAGGGCGCTGTGATAACTGTAATTGTAATGAAGCCGGTTCATGGTCTCTCCATTAGTATCAGGAATATAAATATATTCGCATGTTTGTAATGCGGTAATTGGTTATTAAGAATGATATATGACACAGTTGGTTAATGGTTGGTTGAATTACTATGCTTGCAGCCATAAAAATTATAAGCAACTAATGGATTTATTCATCCATGAAAAAACGAGAACTTTAAAAAAATGCCTGGCATTTGTGATAGTGTTGAAAGTTAATCTTGCTATGTGATAATAGTGCTCCACAAATGCCTGGAAGGTAGTTACATAATTCAGTTGCGTTTTTAAAGGTAAGCTTATAAAACTACGAAGAAACTCAACAGACAAAAACTAAGCGATTGCACCCTCCTTCTAGGATGTAATATCCCCCAGAAACAAAGTTAATAATTATTCTAATAACCTATAAATGAAAGCAAGAGAAAAGTTCTAATGATATGTCAATCACATTTACTATATCCAGTGCTGACGAAGCTTCGTTCAATACTTCAGCTCATCTAGCCGAATGGGAAACAACAAAAGCAGTAGTGGTCTTGGCGGCATTTATAGCATCAGTTGGATGAATACCGGTATGAGCTAGATTAAATACACCAAGTGTAATTATTATCGATTTTATTTAAGTTATTTACATATCAGAATTACGGAAAGGATTAATAAAACTGTTATTTATTATCATTATTACTTGAGTTAACTTCATTATTATTCAGAAGAACTCTCTCTCTCTCTCCGGATCAGGATTTAGGTCTTTTACGACCTGGGAGAGTCAGGTTATAGTAGACCTGTTTCTCCCTAAAGAAGACTGGAGAACCAGCAAGCTAGTTTTCAAAGCACCCACGTGAATGGTTTCATGACGTGTATATGTTAATTAATGAAAATTCAACTTTTAATCACGATGATTTGAAACGGAGAAATTTCGCATTCATTTTTTCTTTGAATATATACAGCTTCTACTGTGCCGGGTGGAACAGTCTCATGATCGAAAAGAGTGTGTAACGCCTTCGCGAAGAACAAAAAGGCGATTAACATTTCCATCCTGGGCCCCTGAATGTAGGAGGGGCTTCAGCTTTTGGCGCCACAAGGAAAATAAACGATGGGTAGTTCCTCTGGTCCCTACAGCTGAGTCAGACGAAACCTGAATACTAGAGGAATTAATAAAGGCGATAGTCAGCTAGTTTGTATATATCCATCCCCTCGGCACAAAGTGGACCCGTCCGCTGACTTAGATTTCTTGCTTGTTTGATTACTCGAAGCCTGCTCTTGTCATTTAAGTACACGCGCTGTGTGGTTAGTCTGTCACCCTTAGGCACTTTCCTTGACATGACTTCAACTCCGGTCCGTTTGCTACTGAGCACAAACATTTCCCTGACAAACTGTCCACGGGACTGGTAAGGTACATGGATGGCCCTCACTTTACAAGACACTGAAGTGACATACAAAAGATTAGGAATAAAACAGACGTGAAGTAAGATCAAATTGTTTTTATAAGTGATGACCTGATATGAGTCCAATATACTTACTCTCGTTTGATATTGATTGTGAAGATTTCGTATACAAAATTCAACCTTCATTAAGAACTGGAGGAAAATATATAACTAAAAGTATGTTTACTATGCATCGTAACGGAAACCGTAGAAAACGGTCACACAGTAGCCCGAACTGTACGGGATTTAATTGAGGAATTCTGATAACGTGCGAAGCTTTGCTTAAATTCTGTGGCAAACTTTTTCCAGTGACGCTATTGTAACAAAAACAGAGGTGTTTCATAAGCATGACATAGGCTTAGAAATGATTAAAGCCGAAAACCTAGGCAAATCGTGTAATAATTATAGTAGCCAAGAGCTTTCACTTGTGGTTGTTGGCATTTTGATGTGAAGTGAGTTTAAGGATAACGATTCTGAAAAAAGTACACAAAACTGTAACTAACTGTAACCTTGTTAACAACTTGTGATGAAAAGTGTTTGGGAATATACCGTTTCCAAGGTTACCCTTAATGGAAAATTGCCAAGTAAACAGTTTTCAATACATTGAATGGAAAAACCACAAAAAATGATCTGCTCCAGACAAACACCTTCAGATTAATGTTGTAACAGAAGTATCGCAATCAATGTAACTCCAAAGTAATCCGTGTGTGTGGGGGGACTGAATGTTAACCCCCGGACGTGAGGTTCTTGTGTAAGCTTTAAGTCCATTAAGTTGGTATATGCACGTGGAATTTATCCTGCGGAGTGCCTAACAAGGCACATCCTGCGGTCTTTTAAATTACATATATACTTCTACGGATGGTGAAACAAGAGAGTGGTGAGTTCTCTACTCGGACCTACCGACCTTTTGATGTCAAACTGTCCATTCTCAAGCGTGTCAGTCTGGTCAGCGATGATCACAGCATGTTTGACCCATCCTGCTACGTCCAGTGCAAACGTACTTCTGACCAGGATTATGAGTCAGACGGCTCACTTACCTGGGAAGATTTCTTCGGTGAGTCTAGTTGTAAGTTATAAAAAAACACATGTATTGATTTATTGTGATCTATCTCTCTTTTTATGTTTGGAATAATTAATTGTTCTCAATAAAAAAACAGTACATATCGATGTTTTTAATGTTGGCGTGTTTGTTTTTTACTTTTATTATTCATGGTGGTTATATGATTTCTAAGCATATTATTCTATAAGTCACAAGTTATGCCGTGTGTAATAGAATTGGGTACAGTTACGTTATGTATTGTGACGTATGAACGTTTAAAACAAAATGTATGATAAAAATAATTAATATACCATTGTAGTATTACAGTTAATGTCATAACACGAAGTTGTGTAATGCATTTTTAAAATAACAAAGCTAACGTTTCAAGTTTTGCCATAAACAAGTTTCAACAGGTGTGCTCAAGGTCCAAGCTGCCCACGTTATTAGAGTTTGCGTCCTTTCTGTGTGATGGCTACTGAATTACACTGATTACTCCCAGAAATTTGACCAATCTCTCTTCTCTCTATATATCTTTTTCATTTGATAACGAACAATACGAACATATTTTTCATGTTATTTCATCATATTTTTATGCACACCTTCTCAAGCTTTTACGTATTTGATTCTACTACTCACACACTATTTGCTAACGTAATCGTCATTTTTCAGTTGCATTCCTTCTTAAAGTCGTTGCTGTTATATACTAATCTACTCCGTGACAATAACTAAAAGTTGAACTTTCGTAAGAACTAATATAATGATTGTCATTTCGTTGCAGTAAAAAGTTATGTAATAGACTTACATTATAATGATGGCACTCTGCAGAAATAAGAAAAACGTGTTGCAAGTAAGGAGTCATTAATTAACTCGCGTACCTTGTTTGAGAGCTTTACGACTTTTAGCAAATATTACAAGCTAGAGCTAAATAACTAAATCCATAACTAAAATCAGTCGTCGCGCTTGACGATTTGCAGAAAATTAGGACAACTGACATTATTTTTGTAATCTGTAAACATTAGAAAAAAACGAAATCAGTTGATTACTAAAATTCTAAAGAATACTTTGACCTATCAGTGAAAAAATTTGAAAACATTACCTTATAATTTAAGGTAAGCTCAGTTCATTGCGTTGTAGCCCCAATTTACAGTAGAGTATGCTGGTTAATCTGAAATCATAGCTTTATCAATGACTCAACAACAAACTAGATGTCTACTGCCGTAAAGATATAGATAACTCTGCTTGAAGTCACAACCCACAGCAAGCAACGTGAAGTAAAATGTTATAATTTCTAAAAACCCATAATGATCCGGCTAAGAATAAAGTGTGACAAGATATTAATGTTTTGTATAATATTATCAGCATATGTTTTTTATAGTTAACATATATGAAAATAAAATAATTGTGCCTATGTTATTTTAAACACATCCCAGTTCATGGTATTTCAATATATAACCAACGACCGACTTTTCGAGCAAAGAGTCATTCGGTATCTTGCCAGTCTATTTCGTTAATAGAGCTACGTTGGTATCGTCAGAATATGTGAGCAGAAAATACATTTGAATTAAGTTTACTGTGAATGTGAATAATCTGAGTGCATGAAGGAAGGATACATGGTATATGATCAGCTAGTACCTATATTGTTACTGCATTTTCAAAGGAATATAAAGTTTCATTAAAAACGTTACTACATAAAAGCAAACTCATTATCATGTTTTCATTTTGTAAAGAAGCTTATTTTCAGTTGCGGGAAATGTACAAAAGTTAAGCAAAAGTTTGTTTGTTTGTAATTAAGCACAAAGCTACACAATGGGCTATCTTTGCTCTGCCCACCACGGGTATCGAAACCCGGATTCTAGCGTTTTAGGTCCGCAGACATACCGCTGTGCCACTGGAGGGCTTAAGAAGAAGAAAAAATACTTCAACCTTTTCTTTTGAAGGCTCGAGCTGAAGATATGTATTACATTCTTGCCAGTAATCTGTGGTATAAACTGTTTTGCTTATAGTTCCTAATGTTTAAGCACGGGTTCAAAACATTTTAGGTTCAAAATGACTGAGGTGGGCGACACATCCATGGCAGGAAACCATAGTGATAAAGCATGCATACATGTAATAATAAGCTGTCAAACAACGACTTATAAGTATAATAAAGTGATCTATTTTTTTTTGGGGGGGGGACATACTACATATTTTGAAACAGGTAATATATGTTCCCCCTGTAATAAATAACTTTATTATGCTTATAAATCGTTGTTTGACAGCTTATTGTTGTTAAACGTTCAGAGATGTTAACATAATATTACACTGCTATTTTATATACTGATGTTAATGTTCGCATATAAGAATGCTTAATGATTCATTATTTGGTATGACAACATTTATATGTATTATCATTTTTTGGGCAGAATTTGTAATATGCAATTATCATCCTTTCCTCGTACGGTATATACAAAGGTTCCATTCAAAAGCCCTTTGTTAATTTTATCGTCTTTAATACTGTCCATAATGAAATGATGTAAATATGAACGTAAAAGAAAAAACAAGTTTAATTTCATTGAAAATGCATACAGTCCTATAATGTAATTAAAGACTTCAGTAGTTTAATTTCATTGAAAATGCGTACAGTCCTATAGCGTAATTAAAGACTTTAGTAGTTTAATTTTATTGAAAATGTATACAGTCCTATAGTGTAATTAAAGGCTTTAGTAGTTTAATTTTATTGAAAATGTATACAGTCCTATAGTGTAATTAAAGACTTCAGTAGGTATACATTTTCAATAAAATTAAAAGTCCTATAGCGTAATTAAAGACTTCAGTAGTTTAATTTTATTAAAAATGTATACAGTCCTATAGCGTAATTAAAGACTTCAGTAGTTTAATTTCATTGAAAATGTATACAGTCCTATAGTGTAATTAAAGACTTCAGTAGTTTAATTTCATTGAAAATGTATACAGTCCTATAGTGTAATTAAAGACTTAAGTAGTTTAATTTTATTGAAAATGTATACAGTCCTATAGTGTAATTAAATACTTTGGTTTATAAAGGTTGGACAATCAACTAAATGGTTTGCGCTTTAATTTTCTGGCGTTGTGCGCGGTATTATCAAGTAAAATAAGCCAGAAAATGGCTTAGTGCGCGGTATTATCAAGTAAAATAAGCCAACAGATTAACTATTATGATCCCAGTCACAGAATATTCTGAGCATTTTTACGCAGAACGTGAATAAGTCAGAAGATATAGACTGGAAAACAGTTGTTTCCGTTTGAAACAAAAACAACAACTTTATTTACAGTTGAAACAGCAACCAAAATAGACTCGTGGTATCATCTATTTTTAGTTTCCCTGAATACAGCAAGTTAAGTCCAAGTCTGGACATCTAGCGAATCTGACCAACAACTGTTTTTTAGGAAAATATCCTATGTTAATCTTTATCAGAGAGCCAAGTTACACTCGGCATCAGGTCAGCCTCATTTAAAGAGAGAAGAAAAATACAGCAACTCCCTACTTCCTGTGCGGCATATTCTTTCAAGCCAGCACGATAACTTGACCAACACGAACGTCAGGAGAGAAAGTACAAGTCTGGATTGACCCCCTGCTGTCCGTGATAAGCTCAAGAACAAGAGTAGCGTCAGTAAAGGATGGATATATCCTATTTAGGTAGAACGTCCAACTACAGCTATGTGTACTGGAATCAAAAATAATATATCAATTTTCTGTGTTATGAAATGTTATAACCCCAATACCTACATACTACTTTTTCAGCGAAATAACAGTATTAATTAGATCCGTTGACTCTAAACGAATATTTTATTTCTTTCTTCTTCTTCTTTTTTTTTGTCTAAGTACGATTTTTTGTTTATGCACTGCTTTCTTAATATCGTTGTAAATATATTTCTATGTTAATTTAGCAGTTTTTGAAGTGTTCGTAACCAACCCACTCTTTTTTTTTATATACAGGCACTAACTTTATTTGAAATTCACAATAAAAGTCTCACAGTATACATTACTGTATTAGGACAATTCGAACAGTTTTATTTATTCCTCAATTATTAGAATCACCTTTAAAATCTTTCTATAAAAATTTACCAAAATGGTAAAAGGAAATTAAATATTTATTGTTGAAAACTGATTGTTCAAGTGTTCTTAATGTGAAGGATGTGCTTGCTTATGACTAATATTACAACGTTTACAGTTTGAGAATCTCTTGAAATACATCGATCAAATTATAAAACAGGTTTTAGCTACTTTTCCGACATATGAACCATCAAATGTTGGCTAACGGTGGTCGGAATACGTTATATGAATATTTCACTCTTACACAGTGTCAAAACTCAGTGATTGAAGCCAAAGATGTCATTGTTTGGGTTAATATACGATTCAAATCTCATGTTTGTATGACAGTATTATTTGCCCAAAATTAGTTTGCTTTATGAAAAACAAACAAAAAAAAACTCATTTCAAACTGGGCTGTTTGCGCGCTGCCAACCACAGGAATCGAATCGCGATTCTAGCGTTATCAGCCCTTAAGATTAACGCTGAACTATCGGCCGGGGGAGGGCTCACTTCATATTTACTAGTCGAAGTTGTAATAATTTTATGTTATACTCTTTTTATCAAAAAATGAAATGAAAAGTAAATCTTTCGAAAGTTTTTCGTACATTTCGTCGAACTTTTTCTGTCAACTCAAGGTTCGAAATCATTTTCTATTTTTCAAGTGGGTTTAGTCTTTCTTGATGTTATGTAACAAAATACCGCATATTCTATATATATATATAAGCGATTCAAAGGAAAACTTGTAAAACTCTCATTATTTTCTTAAATCCTATCATAATATCTACTGTTCTTATATTTTTAATGTTTGCTCATTAAAACTATCGTGGGACTATCACTTATCTAACATATTTTAATTTGTTCAGATAATCATATGTTTTTTACTTTGTTTTTCTCTCTCTCAACGCAAAGTTTTAAATAAGCAGTAATGAAACTTGATATAATTTTACATTTTTTATCCTTTATC